GTATCTAAAAGCTACGTGAGGGTGCACGGAGTGCCCACGAAGTTGCAGTCGCACTACCTCTGATCCCACCAGGCACTGAGTACTCATCGATGATTCCACGATGTACTTCAACTGGCCGAACGAAACTAGATGCGGCCCGATAAGCGAACATGTGCGACGCTAGTGAAGTTGTCTACACCACCTAGTTCTATCAGAAAAGAAAAGAGGCGTGTTTTGGTCCGCGTAGACTTATGCTCTGCTCAAGGTTACCCACTGCGTCTTCAGCGGGAGGATATGAATAGGGAAAGACAGCGTCCGCCTGCTGATCTTGCCGCGGGTCACCCGAAACGTTCAAAGGTGGTGGTGGTGGTGGTGGTGGTGGTGGTGGTGGTGGTGGTGGTGGTGGTGGTGCAACAGGCTTCAGCGAAGGTAACCTATCAAATAAGTCTGCGCTCAGAGGTGATGAGTAAACAATCGCCAACCACGGCCTGGCTGGATACTAGTCTGGGAAATGGGCAACTTATTAAAAAGTTACGAACATGGTGAATGCTGTCCGCCATCCACTAAGTATTTACATTCTATCCCGTACAATTACTAACACCTAGAGTGGTGTGTCTGAGAGACGAAAACGTCTGCGGTCCCGGGACGCACAGGATACCATCCCCCGGCCAACACATCCGACAAAACCGTTGCCCGGTGAGTTAAGGTTCAGCCGTGTTCTGGACGATCCGCGGGCTATGATCCGCAAATTCCGCTTGGCCCAGCAGTGAGAGGAGCAACAGGTGACCTTCAACCGTTTTAACCTAGTCTTGCCTAGGGAACATGCCAAATGAGCGGAGTGAGAGTTCGACACTTTGCAAGCCGCCACTCCCTCCCCATTCCTCAGAGTAGTGGTGGATACCGCAGGGTTCAACAGAGGATCGTCTCGCATATACGCATTCATCTTCCGCACTTTGACCATCTGCTTCTAATTCTGTTCTTCCCGACCTCCTTCTAAGGACTGCGCCTTGGTTGCTGGTGGCCTCTTCCCATTCACTGCCATCTCTCCACTGCATACAGATGTCTGGCGATTGTCCAGAAACTTCTTAGCCGTCAGACCTGACAATGATGAGCATGTTTATCAACTTTGGATTACTCATCAGCATGGCCTTCTAGTAAGTCACCCAGAAAGCACTCTAGTGTGCACCCGACCTACAGCTATCTGCTGGTTCTGGGTCTTTCAACGGAAGCCCTCGTGAGTGGAACCTCTCAACCTTAATCTCGCTTGGCACCCTTTTGGCGGGATTCGCGAGGTACATTCAATGTTTGTGTTGATACCTCACTCTCTGATCCCTAATCAGGCTACCTGAAGCCGACATCATGGCGTAAATGAAATATCTTGGAACTATGCTGCCTAAGTAATCTTTTTTAAACGAAAGCATATTCCGGAAAATCGGCGAAAATGTCACTCAATGTGGGTCGCCACAACTGCGAGGTCATTCGGGAACTGAGATTCAAAAGAGGCCAATCGGCTTGGCTTACCGGGAAGGTGACACAGGCCATTAATTATACTCTTCCTCCTTTCCAGTAGGGAGATGCGGTCCTGAGAAAGCACCAGAGCAAACATGACCAGGGAGATTATTTGGCTCGTATATGCCTAGAAAGGATAGTGGGTTCAACGTTAGCAACATCTCGGAAAATAAGTGAATTACAGCGGATTGAAGTGCAGGAGGCAAATTTTCGGCTCATTACCTTAGTACTAGCAACACCAATTTCGGGTCCAGCGTTCATGTGGATGCCGCAGTGCGTCTCACGGGAAAGTGTTGAGCCCACGGTGTTGGTTATGCCCAGAGTAAAGACGCCCCGACTGAGGCAATAACGGAGGGCCAGAAGGGTGTCTGCAGTCTCACCGGACTGACTAATAAAGACGCACACATCATCACGAAATACGGGAGTTCGACGGTCCAAAAAGTCGCTGGCCAGTTCAACCATCACCGGCAGTTCTGTCAGTTCCTCCATCAGTTGACGGGTCTATATTGGAATAAAAAAAATCACACTACTTAAGTCCAACCGAGTAGGTGGGATATTTGGTTCAAAATCGGGTTTCCGCTTACCGCAATAGCGGCGTTGTAACTAGTCCCACAACCGATAAAGATGAGGCGTCGACTGCGGCAGATGTCCACCAGATGATCTTTGATACCACCCAGCACAACCGAGTATTTATCAAAGTCCACGCGACCACGCATTGTGTTCAAAATAGACTCGGGCTGTTCGAAAATCTCCTTTTGCATGAAGTACTCGTAATTGCCTAGAAAGAGCGACAAAAAGTGCACGTAGGTTAAGACAGTTCAAATCTCGTTGAACTAAGCACGCAGCATCGGCAATTCCTTTTTCGGTTTACTTTTGCCGTCATTTTCATCGAAAATGTTGCTTTTTAGGTGTTTACAGCACGTTCCCACTCGCTCCACCTACCCTTCATAATCTCGTTCAACTCCATGCGCAGAGTCACAATTTCCCGAACAGTCTGTTCATTGGCCTTTTTGGTTATGCGGTGGATGAAGAGGGTTCCGTCGCGAACGGCAGCAATGTCGTTGTCCTCCAAATATATCACTCTGTTAGTATGTTCCACAACAGCACTAAAACACGAGGTAAAGACAGGTGATGAGGTAGAATGTCGAGCAAATATTAGTATGAATTTTAAAATTTATAAATTTTAAATTCGCAAATTATAAAATTTTCGGTGGGGAATGGCATAAACATATTTTGTAAACATCGGCGGAGGCAGTGTTTCGAAATTGCCCTTGAGGAGTGGAGAATAATAATTAAACTGCATGGTCCATCACACACGTTGTCGAAAATGTCGCCCCGCAGAACTTATACGAGTGTGGCTACCATGGTATTACCAGTCAGTCTACTTAAGCTTTACGCGATCACAACCTACGCGTTGCTGTCTATCAATCCATTTAAACTAGCGAATCTTAACCAATACTACAGAGTCCACGGAAGCCAGCGAGTCTGGGTATCCAGTGAAATAATTGCTACCGAAGACTGGGGCACTGGTGGTATCAAAGATTATCTGGTGGACATCTGCCGCAGTCGACGCCTCATCTTTATCGGTTGTGGGACTAGTTACAACGCCGCTGTTGCAGTAAGCGGAAACCCGATTTTGAATAAAATACCTCGCCTACTCGGTTGAACTTAAGTAGTGTGAATTTAAATTCTCTTGAACTCAATTGTAAACACCTATCAGGGCTGCGTCCTACTCCGTCTTACATCAAAGTACTTCCAAAGTAACCGAGTATGCTTCTTGAAAGCCAAATGTTGATGTCATTTGTGGACTTGAAGCGACTGAGCACAGCAGCGTTCAACAGGCCAGGGCGAAATTAGATGCCGGTGTGCAGGCGAGTCTTGCGCAATGAAATTCCCTGGCTTGTAGTTGCGGCGCAAAGGAGACGAATGTCGGGGTCTGCGAAACTAGATGGAGATGGAAAAACAATAAACTCCGTAGACATGAAAGATTGACTAAACCAGTGGCGGAAGGAACAGGCCAGCAAGTCGCTGACACCAGAAGATCCAAAAGTGGTTAGATCACAGATTGAATTCTCTACAGAGCTTCATAGGCGCATTTCGAAACCGTGTAACCGTCGTTCTGATTGTTGTCACTGACCACTGCGTCTACTGGTAGGCTCTTGCACGAGCCTGAAAGTTGGGCTGAAAAAACTGCTGCGACGATCGAAAGTCTCCTCAGACTGAAACTTGGCAATCGGCCCTACGTGACTGTCCGCGGTGATTTAAACTTCACGATCGTT